TGAAAAATGACCATTTCTAGATTTCACAGTATAGCTGTCTAACAAAGTTGCTTTGATGCTCTGCATTAAGAGAGTTTTCTGAATTCACTGAAATATTATATTATAAAATTAGAACGTTTTTCAGAAAAGGTCGTATTGATTAAGAATGCATCAAGTTCAGGGAAAATCCCTGCTACATAGACATCCAACTGAAATTAAGCATTAATTTCCAAAACCTTTGCAATTGTATTTTGGAAATATAAATTTCACTTCACTGCATTTAACACAGTAAAAGCAGAGTCTGGAAACTCCATGCAGTCTGTAATTAAAAGTAGTAGAAATTTTTAAGAAAGTACAGCAACATGACAAAATTATTTGAAGACTTCAGAAAACTCTTTACCTGGGGATCTGAAGGACCTTAGTTGAATTTTATTTTTTTTTTAAATAGACGGAATGGTGATTTGATTACAGAGGAAAAGCTTTAAATATTTCTTTAATGTAAAGCAGACATTAAAAAAAACAGTTGCTGGAGGCTTAAGCTGTATGCTGAAGTGTAAAATAAAAAACACATTCTGAAACCTGGAATTGACAAGAAACACTGGAACAAAGAAATCAAGGACACTTGTGAAGTCTCTGTTGTTCATGTGGGAACTGTCAGGTGGGAACTGTACTTCTGTGAAAGATACACTTAACTAAAGTGCAGGAATATTAAGAAAAATAATGAAGTCCTGCATAACACATGGAGCCAGAAAGATGGCGTAGTTGTCCACTGTGGTTTAAATTCCATGCAATGCTAGGTTAGCACCCAATCTTTCTATTTTTTGTTGGTCAGTAATATTGGAACGGGGACTTTTATGAGTCACATCTAATTACCCCGTGAAGCTCCTGATGTCATTCTGAGCACTGGTGTAATAGTATCAAGTTGCTGCAACAGCAACATGCTGTCTGAATGCCTGAAGCCAAGAAGAGGGACACTGAAAAATTACATATGAACGTAGTGCCCACAGAATGGTCTAATGTTTCTCATATATGAATGAGGAAAAGGGATCGAGTAGCTGTTTCCACTGGCCCACTTCTCCCAGTGACCAGAACTAAAAACAAAGGCTCCTACTTAGCAAGGTCTCATGTCTAACATAAACCACTCCACTAAAGATAAAAAAACCTAAAAAATTATACAAAATCACTGTGGTAGAGCAAGAAGAAACAATGGCCTTTTGTAAGAACAGCAAATGTTTGAGGACTCCTTGCACCCACAGGAAAACACAGTGCTGGCTAACACATGTGAGTGGAAGTGGGTACCATAGCAAAAGGAGAAACAAGGGAAGTACACGCTCACACAAAATTTAACTAAGTTCACTCAAGGAATGCCACAACAAAGATGACCTTTAAATGAGTATTGTATATGTTCGTTGAAGAATCAGAAATAAGTTCACTGTGTGGCCTCTGGATATGGCCAGATTATCATGTAGATACGATTTCTTTTTTTTTTTTTTTTTTTGGTACAGCTACAATAAATATTAAGTAGTTTCTTTCACACTAGTTCTCCAGGACTGCACTGCTTCAAATTTTTAGTGATTTTGGAACCTTTCTTAAGAAAAGCCACAAAATGAGCATGCATCCTGACAAGGGATCCTTTAATGCTGCACAGATCTAGTCAAAAGAGCTTTCAGGGTTTCCCCTCTCATTCTGAATGAAAACTCCCTACAGCACATTTCTGTAAACATGTCACATTAGTGTATGCTGTTTTCTGCAAACTCTTACATCCTTTGGGATATCTGGAAAGTATCCAGGGAGACCAACTCAGACACAAGACACTTCACACACTTCTGTCAACAAGTTCCATGGTTGACACATTTGCGTACCATCATTTAAACATGTAAGAACCTAACCCGCTCTTTGACGTAGGAGCAAGATCATATCCCAGCATGATCATATAGTAGTAATTCATTGATCACCAAGCCACAGAAAGTGACATATTTATTATTTTAATAATTGTGTGTTGGCTCAAGTGATACCACATAACTCTTTCTACAGTATATCCATTGGACAAAAGCTGTTACCACTTTGTTTGAAATAATATATTGATTCCCCTTTGCTCTTGAAATAAATTACCTGTAGTCATCATTTAATTCAGTGATGTTGTAAATTTGTGCTTGTAAACCAGTTCCACATGTATGTCAGTAAGTATTTTAAGATTGGCATAACTTTGAACAATTCTGTTAATCTTTATTCTATTACCAAAATAGTTCTTATATGTATTTTTACTATATGGTTTTTGATGCAGATTATCCCTGTAAGGTGAAGAAAATACTACTATGCAGACGTATTCCTCTTAATAGGGGTATATTTGTCCTAATTCCCTCTATAGTGAACACAGGGGGATAGGTGCCACTCTGGGACAGGGTGTTTCTTAGTAGTTCTAATATTAATTCTAACCTTTGGTGTTTCTTAGTAGTTCTAATATTAAATTCTGATCTTGGTAAAATCCCACTTAAAACACTCAGAAAATGAAAATGCATGGCTCTGCCCAGTTCAAAGAGGGAAGAAATCCACTGGCATGGCTTTTTTTCTTCCCTTTCTATCTCATTTTGTATTATCATTTACCTAAGTCACTAGCTCTTCTACATGAGCCTTCTACATGTTTCTTTGAGTTACAATATCACCATTAACACTGTTAATTTTCCTCAGCTCCTTATATCTTGCTTTAATGTGTGTTGAGAGGTCTCTAATTTACACACTTAATGATTCTCCTCTCAACTAATTATTAATCTAAGTCTAATTTTCAAAGGAGTTGAACACTTCAAAATGCTGCTAAGGTTAAGTGGGAATTAAAACTTTGAATATAACAAGAACAATGCAAGTGGAAAATTTTTTAAAAATTCAGGTTCTCAAAGTGTGGCAACCATACTGAATGGATACTTTGGATTTTTTTATTTTTTTTTTTCCCTAGTATGTAAAAATTCCAGTCTGCAAAACAGACACAATATCACTTTTAGGTCTGAACAATGCCGAAGAAAAATTATCAGTTAGTCACACAGTCAATATTATGCTTTAATCTTCAAAAGACAGTCGATGAGAAAGTCAGTAACTTCATAAAACTTAAGAGGATCTGTTGGAAGTAGAACAGAGGAACATGACATCTATAATTAAATAAAAAGGAATATTTAATAGCCATTAGATGTGCACTGTCCTGACTGCCATTAAACAGAGCAGAAATCTTGTTACAAACAGTATGTTCTTGTGTAATGAAATGTATTGGAAATGCAAATGCACATGGGATTTGAATTAAGATTGCAAACTATGTTATTAATGCTTGGGCGGGGTTGCAAGCAGAAAGAGTATTGTGAGCATCTTACTGGTAAAAAGCTAAAGACAGATGCTGAGGGTCTACAGTCTTCTGTTCCCATTGTTTGGCTCAAGGCAACTGTGTGCATGGCTGAGATAAAACAATCAGCACTCCTGTTTTTATAGATGTTGGAGTGAGACAGCAGTTCAATTTTATGTGCAAATAGAAAATATCCATGATGAATGTATCAACCCCCTAATTCCCACTGCAAAATGGAAAAAAAAAAAATAAAAATTATCCACAGTGTGTTAACTCTGAATCTTTGCCTCAAAAAATTAAGAAGTTCAAAGAGTGATGTTTGTAAAACACAGCCATATTTATAACTGTTCTTAAAGAACTAATAAACTGTTTCTGCAGATTCAATACTCCACAGAAAAACACTCTAAAATACGCTAAAACTGCATATCCATAGCTTTTCAGTATCTTGGATATTTAATTGCCCAAGAGTAAGAGTCCTAGTAATTATAAAATCCTTAATACCATGTTAATATGCTATTAAATATGCTTTAATAGCATATTTAACACATAACTTTTGATTCTTCCCTACTACACTACCTTTTCTCAGTCCTTAACATGAAACTTAAATAACCTCAGCTTTCAAATTTTCATGTCCAACTGAAGTGAAATTTAATACTATTTTTGTAACTTAAAACCCAATATAAAACATAGCTTTGGGGCTTACATGCCATTAGTAATTTTGTTCAAGAACTGGTCTTCTGTTATTATCATTATTATTACTGGAATTACCAAGCTGGCCTTTAATAATTCACTGTAGTTGACTGAGATCAGTGATGAGTAATACCAAGTCCTTCCACTTGAGATAATTTAACTGAGATATTATCAAGATGCCTAAACAAACCAAGAATTATTGAGAGTCCCAACTTCAAACCACAAACTGGGCACAATTTAATTCATAAAAATATTGAAATGTTTGCGTCTGAATACCTTCCCAAACTTCTAGGAGCAGAGTAAATTATAAACTCTTAAAACTGGATTATTTCTTGCAATAGCACAATCATAAATATTTGCTATCCGTTACTGAACTACCAAACATCAAAGTCAGGGAAAACAAAAACGCAACAGGAAACAGTCTGTCAGTTACTTCATTATATTAAAACTCTGAATAACCAAAGATTTATTTCATGTCTTGAGCATAATCACCACCACCACCCCACCACCCCTGCCTTAATGTAGCTCCTTTCTTCGTGTGTGTGTGTGTGTGTGTGTATATATATATATATGTTAGGTTCTGACACTTGCGTAAAGTAACTACAACAAAACTTGGGTCAGTGGTACTGGTTTCTGTTAATATTTTAGACAATGATTCTAAATTCATATTTTTATATGTTTTAGACACAGTAAGGTATGGTCTATCCCCACAGCAAAATGGAAACTTCTGAGCAATTTTAATATTCTTTCACTTAAAATTACAGCAGAAACATGTTGCACAAATGACAATATCTACATCTGTGCTGCCAGTCATCAAAACACTTTAGATGGTTGAAATTGTTAAATCTCCTTCAACTGAAGAGAAACCTCAAGTGTCAAAGCTCAGTTTGTTGTCAGCATGCTTCATGCTCAGCTGCTACCTTTTTGGTTTTTATTAGTGCTTAGAAAGAAGTCACACATCAAGGTCAGTTAGCACATTCACCAGTTGTTCACTAAGTTTACTCACCCTTTGACCTTCTTTGCCAGGTGGACCTTGGGGACCATCCAGCCCTGGCAAACCCTGAAAATACAAACATTAAACAAATGTAACATTCAGTGTTATTTTCATCCTCCATTATTCTATAGAAGTAAAACTAAAGCCAAAGAGCCAGATGTCAAGACAAAGCATTAATTTCTAATAATAAAAATAGGTTATTCATAATAATTTATTTCAGGATAATGTTATATTCAGGTGAGAGAAAAAATGCAAACAATAAATATTAATCCCATTCCTCCATACAAAGGCTGAATCATCTGGAAAAGAGGTTAAGTCAGCACTACTTAAGCATAGTTATATTTAACTACGGTGTTCTATGAGAAGTAATTTATCTTGTTAAGTGAGGATGCCATAAGAAAAAAGAAATAAAAGCTACATTAAATGAATGACAACTTACTCTACAACTGCAATACAAATAGAGGCACTGAAGGGGGAGGGGAAGGGAAGGAAGGGAAGGGAAAGGGGACTAAATATAGCTGAAGGCCTTATGCTCACTGTATTGTAAGAACCAGCCCTGTGCAGCTTCCTCTGTGTGTCTGGCTCAGCTTTTCAAAACCCTTCAAAGCCCCTTCTCTCACCTCTCTCTTGCCCTGTCCCCTGACCAGGCACAGGAGCTTTGGGTGTTTTGAAAATAGTTTCAACTTGTGAGCCTTCCTTCTGAACTCAGCGCAAGGATCTGCCTTTGCAGTCACATACAGAATCACAGACTGTTTCAGACTCTTTGGGGCCTTTATATCTGATTAATGTATACTATAATCATAAAGCCTTCAAATAACAGCTCTGTACTTAGAACAGTGCCCCCCTCCTTTACTTTATGAGTCACCTTGGAACACAAATTTAAAAAAAAATTACTTTGAGGAAGCTATCTGATTTCCATTACAGCAACAAGAAATATGAAATCGGTTTCAAAGTATTCAGCAAAGAGCACTGAAGAGTTCTACCTTGTAAATTAAAAAATTTGAATGTAATACTTCATATTCTTACAGGGTATCGCAAACCTAATGAATTTATATTTAGTTTATTTAAGAGTTTGAAATATTAAAATATTAAATTCTTAACCTTTTAAATTACTTGGACTCAGGTGTTGCTTCAGCTTGAGCTATATCTTTGATCAAATTCTGAACTCATTATTTAGAATCAATTACATGTATTTATTGCCCCAATAAGAGGAAACTGAGGACCCCTGAGAATCATGTTTTCAAAAAATGTCCAGATTTCCAGAAATGAATTAATGAAGTTTATTTATGATCTCCAATTCCCAAGATAAACTTGAGAAATTAAGTGGACATGCCAAAGCTGCTAGCTTGTATATCTTCAAGTGATGTTTGAAGTTGATTAGAATGAAGTCTGACTTTATTTTCAACTAAAAGCACTCAGTTCAAGAGTTTTTTTATTCCTATAATTTCCCTACTTTAAAACAATGAAGCTAGAAGAGTACCTCAGTATTTCACTATAGAATATTTCTCCTTTCTCTTCATCTTATAATGTAAACAAGGTTTAGGATCTTTTACAAAACTGTTGTGCATCACTTCCATCCTTCCCCCAAAGTTTATGGTACTAGAATATTCATCACAATGTTGTGTACAACAAATAAATCACAATAAGTTAATTATGATGCAGTTACATATCTTATACACGCACAAACCCATAAAGCAGTATGTGAACACAACTTTTTCCTCAAGGTAGTTTAGAATTTGCAGAGAATTCTGACTGTCCAACTGTTAGCCTCATTCTACCTCTGTAGAGAAATTCTGGAAATTCAGGAAGAGGTGGAGTTTTGTTTTGCTAATATTTCATTTCTAGTGACAACTTTATGCTGGGGAATGAGATGAAAACTCATGTAAGTTCTGTTTTATGGAAGAGGAAATACTTAGCCTCACAGATCTGTACAATAAGGCTCCAAGGGGACAAGAATCACACAAGAATGTAACTGCACAATAATGATAATTAATAGCCAACATTTTTGTCCAAGACCTACTTTTATTCTTTTTCTTTTCTCTACAATATTATTGTCAAAAAATAGGAACCAGATAAGCAGGTTTATCTTCAAGGAAAGGGAGGAGAACAGTTTACAATTGGTAACTATGCAGGGAGGACTACCCTGTCCAAGGAGCCACATCCTGACATTGAAACTGAGGTAGAAGTTCACATTAACTTCAGTGGGATTTTTGGTTTAAAAAGTGATAGCACAACATGGGCCATGTTAACTTACATGGCTGTAAAACTGTAATAACTTGGCAATGGTAATGACTTGGCAATGCTGTCCCTGTTCAGCATTCACTGAATGAGATCCTGGAAAAACAACTGAGGAATAAACCTGAAGGAGGAAGGAAAAAGAAAACATCTCTACAGTGAAATCTGTTGAAAGGGATGAATAAAACATCCCCTGTTGAACTATAAAACTTGGCAATGAATGATAACATTTTAGCACAGAAAAGAAGTATGTATTTGTAGGAAGGAAGATCAAAGTAACTACCTGGGTCTTATTTGTATTTAACTTCTGGAGATCCCCCTTTGGAGATCAAAGATCAGATTCTTGACTCCCTCCAGTCATAGACAGCAGTGACAGACAGGACAAACGCCACCAAAGGAGCACACCACCACAGACAGAAAGGGGCAGAATAGAGACTGAATATATACATGCGGCCTCATGGGATATGCTATTGTGTTGAAAACATTTATGTCAGAAGGCAAACTATTTTACATGTACCATCTCTCCCCAGGTAAACAACGTACAAAGCACTTAAAATGATTCACTATGTGTCACCTCGATAGTCTTGCACTGGCAATGAGCAAAAGGAGGTATATGAATAGCACAAGACAAAGTGAGATAAAAGAACAGCCTACTCCCGTGACATCAGACTGGCAGGAAAATACGATGCATCCTTACAGGTGGCCTCATATGCACAGGATTTTCCTGACTCTTTCAGGCCACCTCTGAAGTTGGAAGGTGGTACCCTTCTACCTACTTCATGAAGATGTGAACTAAAATAACATATGCAGTCTTTAGGGCTTGTACCTGTCATGGCCCAGGCAAGTCCCCTGGAGTTACGTGCCTGAAGGAGCTTGAGGAACATGAAGTGGAAATGTCGCAAACATTACCATGTAGCTTGGGGAAAAAAGAAGTCAGTAAGCTGGAGATGGGCTCAGGTGCATCTGAAACTTAGAAAATTTATCATAATAAGCGAAGATGGCTATAAAAAGAGATGAAACATGATGCACAGGCAGGCACAAGAAGGTCATACAAAATCTTGAAAATGAAGTTAAGAGTGGAGACTTGTGAGCTCCTTTATAAGAGGTAAATGTAAAGAGAAGTTTTGGCAAGGAAAAATACGCTGGTTGTGAAGCTAGATAAAGAAAAAGCAAGCACGCTATGAAGCACATCTTGACAGATATTTGAAGAAAATATCATCAAAACTTAGACTAAGCTTTAGTCAAAGGAATACAGGAAAAATGACAGGTTTAAAAAATGCTATGGTGGAGTAAGTGAGCTTTTAGAAGAACTTGCATGTCATTGAAAATAAGTGTAGGAATTAACATTTTAATACTTAACAGTTAATATTCTTTGTAAGTGTCAGGAGATAAAAGCTAGTAAGAATTACTGAACATGAGATGGTAGAAAAAAAATGTGTTTGGAACTGATAGAAAAATCAGTTAACAGTTCAGTCAGTTAAGCTGTTTTAAGTTTCATAAGCTATCAATTTAAAGTGTATTAGCTGGCATGTAGCTATTAGAAGCCACTTATTACAGAACGGCCCTGCAGGTACAGAAACATTTTTAAATGCTTGATATATCATGACAAGCTTCCGCAGAGAAATTGTGGAGACTTGGTTTGTAAAGTTAATGGCTCAGAGTAACCGCCTGAGAACATCCTCTTAACAAAAGCAAAGCTTTTATTGTGACCTCTTGGTGAAATAAAACAAAACAAGCAAACAAAAATTATTGCAGATGAAGTGGAAGAGTGAAGTTACTTAAAGTTGTTATTCATATTACTTCCTCTGGAAGCTTAAGTTCAGTGCCAAAAGAGTAAAATGTTAGACAAGTATATTTTTGGTGTTCTGAAAGTTGCTTCAAAACATAGCTGATAATTTTTGAAGCAGAAGGCTAGACAGCTGCCTTATGTTCTCATAGGTAGTGTTGCTGAAACAGGTTCTGAGCATGGCAGCCTTTCCTCCTCAACACAAATTAGAAATATATTACAAATGCTAACAATAATAAGGCAGGTCTAATTAAGGCAAAAAATTTATTCCATTACAGACCTTTGTAGACTGCATTCTGTGTTATATACACAAACCCCTCTCACCCATTTTTTTCATTTTTTTACTATGAATTCCAGCAAACACATGACCTCAATTTTTATGGAATAAATGCTACTAGATAGAGAGCACATGTAGTTTAGCAAGGCAAGTCAAGCAAAGACACAGAAAAAGCCTAAATTAGGTATTCAGAAACACCTTGTGGTAATGCAAGAATAGGTTATTTTAAAATTATTTGAATATGTGAACTTTTATAATGATAAAACTTGCTACTTTAAAAAGACCCAGCTATAATAGACATGATTTGGCTAAGCAATTTGGAAGCAATATATAAACAGAAAAGTATAGTTCTGAAAGAAAATCAACCTTTCTACAAGTAAATTCATGGGCAATTCCCACTGCAGGGGTTTGACCTAGTTCTTCAACACACAGTTCTCACTAGGATAAAGAAAGATGTCACAATGATTAATTACATATATAATGATGCCTTTGTAAAACCCACAAGTAGAGCAGCATAGAATCACACAAATCAAGAGTCAGGTAAAAAGTGACCGCAGATTTCCAAATTCCTGACATTAACACAATATGTGATAAAAAAGCTGCAGCCTGACTGGCTTGAAGAGCATTCTCCACCCACCCAAATACTGCTGTGGGATGGATGGTACTACTGTGGCTGCACTCACGCAGGAGTGTCCCAGCACCCTGGACAGGATGCATCAAGATGCAGTTCAGTTAGGTCTTAAATTCACCTACTTATCTGGACGTGTT